TGCTTAACCCAGCTCTGATGAAGAAGGGAGCACCCTTCGAAACGCGTTAGTTTTATCCCCCCCCTTTGGATTTACCTGTAACCCTGTGTGGATATGGTTTACTTATGCCTGTTTTACCGTCACCTTTGTGAATATATTTCCTAAATTAAATAAAATGAGTCACTATTTATTGAGGTAATGCGCAAGGTTTGTGCGTTCTTTCTTTCATCCTCTTAAACGGCTTGGAGGCACCTCAGACGTCCCAGCAAGTGACCCTCTGTGATGCTGAGCTGTTGACCCGCTTTAAGATGCTGCTGCAAGCTGAACTATCGGAGGCGACATCCAGGTTGGTGACACAACTCACCAAAGAAATCAGGGAACTGGACTCCCATACTAATTACTTGGAAGACAGAATGGACGCAGCTGCTACGGTTCCGGAAAACCATGAGCAGGACATGTTAGATATTCAGAAATAATTGGAGACAGCCCTCCTGTGCATAGAGGACTTTGCGAATAGGTCCTGTAGAGGCAACCTTCATCTCCGGGGCCTCCCAGAAACCATCACAGACCTCTACAGCTACAGCTCTTTTCTAGGAATTGATTCCGGCCTTGCCCATTGAAAGACTGGAGTTTTATTGCATCCATCGCTCCCTAGGCCCTAAAAGGCCGGACGGCCCGCCAGGGGACATTATCATTAAGTTCATGTTTTACCGCACTAAGGACATGCTCCCTCCCGTTCCATTTCCCCCCCCGACCTTTTCCTTATCACCCCCCCCCATTTCCCCATCTTTGTTTCCATTGCAAACCTTAGTTATATTGTGTATGCATGTCTGGCTTTCATGGCCCCCACCCCACACCCCCCGTTTTTGCTGGGAGAGTCAGTCCCCGATGAAGGGTCTGGCCTCCGGGTCGGATCACGGAGATTTTTTGCTTTATACTGTTATACTCCCTCTTGGGTTTTGTGATAATAGTAGTTTATGTTTACTTTGTTTCTGCCAACGAAAGCTATTATATGTTTGTGGTCTGTATGATAGAACTGGGAGCAGTCCAGGACCTCCCTGTTGGTTGTGGTTCCTTCTCCCCTCTCTAGTCCAGGTTTTTACTACAGGGTCAAGGGTGCAGTGCCCATATAGGTTTTTTTTATCCTCCCTGTATACCCCCAGGTTTTCAGTTCATTTGTATTTATATTCTCAGCGATAACCACCATGTGTCCGGCAATAGAGTCCTCCCACACCAAACATCACATGCGTTGGATGTTTTCCACCCTTCGAGTGGTGTTTGCTACCCACCCTCTTTTCTTTGCTCTCCCAGTTTTCTCTTCCTACTCTACCTTCTTTCCCTCCTCTTTTTCTAGGTCCTAAGCTCCTTCAGGTCTGGGTCCCCCCCTTATGGAGGTGTCCCCCCCCCCCCGGATTACCTGACACCCTGGTGAGTCTTTTGTTTAGCTCCTTCGCATTTTCCAGCACCATGGCTAATATTCCTCTGAAGATCTACTCTCACAATATTCAGGGCTTCAGCTCTCTTGTACAGTGGATGAAGGTATTCCACCACCTTAAGATCAGCCGCATTGATATAGTATGTTTACAAGTGACCAGGTTTTCCTCCTCGTCTTCCAGATTCCTCTCCACTCATTATCCTACCTTTTTTTTTTTTTTTTTTTTTTTTTCTGTCTTTGGCCCTTGAGAAACACAGAGGAGTGCTGATCGCTTTCTGTCGTGTACTTTTATTTTCCTCCACTAAAGAAATCGCTGACCCTACGAGCAAATACTTGCTGCTTCAAGGCACTCTTAATGGGCAAGAGGTTACTATAAATGTCTTATTATGCCCCTAATCTCTTCCAAAATACATTTTTCTCCCATCTTTTTTGAGTAGTAACACAACATGCTAAGGGGACCTTACTCCTCATGGGCGACTCAGTGGTGTCAGTGGGAGGAATAGTGCCCCATCATTGGTGTCAGTGGGAGGAATAGTGCCCCATCATTGGTGTCAGTGGGAGGAATAGTGCCCCATCATTGGTGTCAGTGGGGAGGAATAGTGCCCCATCATAGGTGTCAGTGGGGGGGGACTAGTGCCCCATCGTTGGTGTCAGTGGGGGGAGGAATAGTGCCCCATCGTTGGTGTCAGTGGGGGGAGGAATAGTGCCCCATATTGGTGTCAGTGGGGGGAGGAATAGTGCCCCATCGTTGGTGTCAGTGGGAGGAGGAATAGTGCCCCATCGTTGGTGTCAGTGGGGGGAGGAATAGTGCCCCATCATTGGTGTCAGTGGGAGGAGGAATAGTGCCCCATCGTTGGTGTCAGTGGGGGGAGGAATAGTGCCCCATCGTTGGTGTCAGTGGGGGGAGGAATAGTGCTCCATCGTTGGTGTCAGTGGGGGGAGGAATAGTGCCCCATCGTTGGTGTCAGTGGGGGGAGGAATAGTGCCCCATCGTTGGTGTCAGTGGGGGGAGGATAGTGCCCCATCGTTGGTGACAGTGGGGGGAGGAATAGTGCCCCATCGTTGGTGTCAGTGGGAGTAATAGTGCCCCATCATTGGTGTCAGTGGGGGGAATAGTGCCCCATCATTGGTGTCAGTGGGAGGAAAAGTGTCCCATCACTGGTGTCAGTGGGAGGAATAGTGTCCCATCACTGATGTCAGTGGGAGGAAAAGTGTCCCATCACTGGTGTCAGTGGGAGGAAAAGTGTCCCAACATTGGTGTCAGTGGGAGGAATAGTGCCCCATCGTTGGTCTCAGTGGGAGGAATAGTGCCCCATCATTGGTGTCAGTGGGGGGAGGAAAAGTGTCCCATCACTGGTGTCAGTGGGAGGAATAGTGTCCCATCACTGATGTCAGTGGGAGGAAAAGTGTCCCATCACTGGTGTCAGTGGGAGGAAAAGTGTCCCAACATTGGTGTCAGTGGGAGGAATAGTGCCCCATCGTTGGTCTCAGTGGGAGGAATAGTGCCCCATCGTTGGTGTCAGTGGGGGGAGGAATAGTGCCCCATCGTTGGTGTCAGTGGGGGGAGGAATAGTGCCCCATCGTTGGTGTCAGTGGGGGGAGGAATAGTGCCCATCGTTGGTGTCAGTGGGGGGAGGAATAGTGCCCCATCGTTGGTGTCAGTGGGAGGAGGAATAGTGCCCCATCGTTGGTGTCAGTGGGGGGAGGAATAGTGCTCCATCGTTGGTGTCAGTGGGGGGAGGAATAGTGCCCCATCGTTGGTGAAAGTGGGGGGAGGAATAGTGCCCCATCGTTGGTGTCAGTGGGGGGAGGAATAGTGCCCCATCGTTGGTGTCATTTGGGGGAGGAATCGTGCCTCATCGTTGGTGTCAGTGGGGGGAGGAATAGTGCCCCATCGTTGGTGTCAGTGGGAGGAATAGTGCCCCATCATTGGTATTAGTGACACCAATGATTGGGCACTATTCCTCCCACTGACACCAATGATACTTACCTTGCTGACCCCTGCTCCAGCCTGGGCTCACTCGCTCCCTCCCTTTCCTATGGTACAGACACTTACCGGTCAGCTGTCTTCATTCTCCGGCCGCTCTCCTCCTCTTACTCGCTCGATCTTCGGCGTATGTGTTTTCCGATGGTCTTAGGCGACCCCTGTGAAAGGGTCGTTCGACCCCCAAAGGGGTCGCGACCCACAGGTTGAGAACCGCTGCCTTAGAGGAACTAAACACAAGTTCTTCACTTATGCAAACAAACCAGGTTCAATGTTGGCGAATAAACTGAATGGGCGGCGCCACTCCCATAAGCCACTCTGTGTACTCACCCCTAATGGAAATCTGACTTCGGACCCTACCATGGTTACGGCTGCATTTGCCAAATTTCTATCTTCTTTATATAGAAAACCAGGCCCCTTCCCTACGGCTCTCACGGACCATTTTTTCAAGATATTCGTCTCTCTCCGCTTGACGAGTTAGCCAGAGAGACGCTATCTATAGGCTGACATTACAGAATTGGAGGTAGTTCAGGCCATCAAGACCATTTGCACCTCCAAAGCCCCAGGACCGGACAGCTTTTCTGGCCTATACTTTCACATGTTCTCTTCCATCTTGGCACCTTACCTAGCAGCCCATTTCAAAGAATTAAAACGGGGTTCCTTGCCCTCTCTAGACTCTCTCAGAGCTCATATCACCACGATATCCAAATCTTCGGAGAATGCCTCCGATCCTCAGGACTTTAGGCTCATTTTGTTGTTGAATAAGGATGTGAAGCTTCTAGGGAAAATTACTGGTACCTTTATAAACGGTTACCTTAGTAAGTTGATCCATAGAGATCAAGCAGGCTTCCTTCTGGGCCAGCAGGCAGGAAACAACATTAGAAAGGTAATCCATTTAATACATATCCTGAATCATCGGAAGATCCTGGGCTTTATTCTTTCCAATGATATCTACAAGGCTTTTGACTCCCTATCTTGGGATTACCTATTTTATGCGCTACGTCACTGCGGTTTTGGCAATTTAATTTTGTCCTGAAATTTGGCACTCTACTCCTCTCCATCAGCCTGTGTAAAATATGCCAGCCTGTTTCTCCGAACCTTTTCCTATTTTCCGAGGCACTAGGCAAGGATGCCCCCTCTCTCCTATTCTATTTGTCTTGGCACTTGAATCTTTGGCCATTGCGCTTCTGTCAGACCCCAATATTTCAGGAATCCCTTATGTGGGAACCCATCACAAAGTAAATTTGTCAATGATGTGCTCCGTACCTTGACAAATCCCCTATTTTTCTCTGCCTAATTTACAGCGCCTTCTTTCTCGTTTCTTGGAATTCTCTGGTCTCCAGATTAATCATCATAAAACGATGGCACTTAATATCCCCTTGCCCCCTTCCTCCGTCTCTGATCTTCAGCAACATTTCCCCTACAGCTGGCTGAATTTCTACCTAGACTACCTGGGAGTCAAACTGACCTCATCTTACTCAACCCTCTGCTCGACCAACTACTATCCTCGCTTTCGAACTGTCACCTCTTTAACCACCTCCCACCCGCCATATAAGGAAATTACGGGTGCAAAGCGGTTCTCTTGTTCTGGGAGGACGTCCTATGACGAGTTGACCGACAGCAGATCACCGATCAATTGAAAGAGCCGAAGACGTCGGCTCTGTCATGTGATCAGCTGTGTCCAATTACAGCTGATCGCATGTAAATAAGGAAATGCCGGTTATCAGCATTTCTCTTCTCATGAGCTGTCACGCTGACAGCTTGTAAGGAGAGGAGAGCCGGTAATCGGCATTACTCAGAAGGGACATGTACACTGATCATCAGGGCACTGATGATCAGTGTGCCCTGATGATCAGTGTAGCCCCAGCAGTGCCACCTGTCAGTGCCCATCAATGCCACCTGTCAGTGCCCATAAATGCCACATATCAGTGCCTACCAGTTTACATCAATGCCACATATCAGTGCCCATCTGAGCTGCCTCTTAGTGCCAGTCAGTTCCACCTATCAATGCCAGTCAGTGCCACGTAACAGTGCCAGTCAGTGCCGCCTATCAGTGCCACCTTTCAGTGCCGCCTATCAGTGCCATATATGAGTGCTGCCTTTCAGTGATGCCTGTCAATGTCAATCAGTGCCACCTATCAGTGCCACCTATCAGTGCCCATCACTGCAGCCTCATTAGCGCACATCAGTGAAGAAGAAAAATCACTATTTACAAAATTTTATAACAGAAACTAAGAAAAAATTTTTTTTTCAAAACTTTGTTTTTGGTTTGTTTAGCAAAAAATACAAAACCCAGGGGTGATTAAATACCACCAAAAGAAAGCTCTATCTGTCTCAAAAAAAATTATAAAAATTTCATATGAGTACAGTGTTGCATGACAGCGCAATTGTCATTAAAAGTGTGCCTGAAAATTGGCCTGGGCAGGAAGGGGGTATAAGTGCCCTGTAGGCAAGTGTTTAATGCAGTCATGGCAATTTCCCTCATTATTGTGGATTGGCCATATACATCCTCCCAAAAATCCTTTATTATTTTTGAACTCTGCCCATCCAGGTTCCTTTCTTTTTTCTATGCCTTCTACAAAACAGGATTCTTTCTTTTGGGCCTATAAGCCCCCCAGGGTCTCTCACTCTACACTGTACGCTCATAGACTCAGAGGAGGTGTGGGAGTTCCAAATGTAATGAAGTACTATAAAGCAGCACAGATTGCACAACTCACCCTGCTCCATGCGACCACGGAGATCCCCCTGTGGGTATTCCTGGAACTTCCCAACTGTACTCCTCTCCCTGAAACGGCTCTGTTGTGGCTTTCACAAAGACTACACCCAACCCTACTTAGCTCCCTGATGCTTCATAGTTTTTGAGTCTGGGATTCAGTTCGCTCCCGTACCTTTCCCACTTGGTCTTCTATTCGCGAGACTTTTGACGACTTTTTCCGCTATGTACAGCTCCGCCATTGGATATCTTCTTTGAGATGCAATTCTACGTTTCCCTATTGGTCCATGGCCTTTGACCGCCTCTGTCGGCTTTCTCCGGGAGCCTCAGGCACTATCACTCTACTATATTCATCACTGAATACTGTGGACTCTCCGTCCTTCTTCACTTCCTATAGGTCCAGCTGGGAGAGAGATCTGGGTTCCTCCATCGATCCGGAGGATTGGACTAAAGCCTGGTCTTGTATTCTTCACTGTTCATTCAACACGTTCACAATGGAAGCAGCATATAAAGTTCTCTTGAGGTGGTATTGGGTCCCTGCCCACATTGTAAGCTCGAACCCCAACTATGATGATGGATGCTTCAGAGGCTGTGGACAACGGGGTGACGTGGTTCACACCTGGTGGTCATGTCCACGTCTCACGGGGTTCTGGTCCAGGGTTTTTGGGCTTCTATACTTCATCTTCCACATCCCCATCCCCAAATATGCTAAACTGGCCCTGTTACACTGTCTGATTAGGGGCTTGTTCTCTCACCAACATAATTGGCCACTTACCTGTTTATAGCTGACAAACGTGTCATTGCCAAGGCATGGAAGAAACCGTCAGTACCTTTCCACGTGGTGAAATCTAACTTGACAACCCTGATGTTGCATGAAAAGATGGCCAGTATCCTACATGATTCTCATGCAATACCTTTGAAAGTATGGAGCCCTTGGTAGACCTATGCTTTTCCTACCCTATCCTCATTTGGTTTGGGTATCTCCTGAATTTAACTTTCTCCCAGGCCTGCAGGAACTATCCTCCTCCCCTTGCTCTTCCGGTCCTCTTATTCTTTCTCTTTCTCCTTCTGTCCTTCTTTACTTTGTTTTCTTTTAAGCACAAAATGAACATATAGTCTATATATTTTCTATTTCAGTCCTCAGGACTAGATCCTGGGTCATTAAAGCTGTCCTGTGGCTTAGGTTGTACAACTGCGCTGCACATAATCTTATTGTACAATAAGTTGTTATTGCCATCGTCTGGTTTATTTGCCTTTTTTGCTTTATACCCCTGTGCGGGCGACCAGTTGTATTGCGATGTTATATGTTTAATAAAAATATTGAACCATAAAAAAGGTTATTCCTAGATAATTACATACAAGACTATAAATCCCATAGCTGGAGCTAACAACAACAGAGACAACACATGCCTCCTGTGTTCTGCTTTTAAGATCTTTTCTTTTTGTAAAATGTGTAGAAGCCAACTTTGGCTTCAGGTCACCAAACAGTACTTTGATTTGGATTATAAAGTTATAGGAAATTCATGAACAGAGTCCAGAGTGCAGCCTGATGACAGCACAGACCTGGTGATTGAACAGGAGGAGGACACCCAGGAGTGACACATAGGTATCAACCCCTATTCATATGACGTAGTAACGCTGCTCTTTATATATGTCTGTTTATATAGCATATGTAAATAAGAGACCAATTCAGCTTTCAGTTTAAAAAAGCTACATAAACTCCAGGTGCATCCCAACAAAAGGTGTACAAATTCCTACAGTTTTCTTGAGAAAGTAGTCACAGGTATGTCACCTGCCAGCATGCCATCTAAAAACCTCTTGTTCACTGATGATTAAAGATCTTGATTGAAGGTCTGACCTTGACTAAAAGTCTGATTTTATCCAAAAGCTTCTCAGGTATTGGAGAAGCTAAGGCTGGCCATAGATGGATCAAAAGTTGGCCATTTCAGCAGGACCATCCACGTGTGGCCACTCCTGCTCAACAGCGGTTGTTCTAATGAATGACTTCTGTCAGATGGGCTTGTTGGAAATATATTTTTTTCTCTCTCCCGCTCCTTTTGAGCCTGATATTCTGCACAGGAATGCATTAAAGTGTTACTAAACCCACAACAGTAAAATCACTTTGAATATGCAGTAAAGTATGCCTGTTGTACACACTGTGGAACCTAAGGGGTTAATCCTCTGCATTGTGTAAAAAGAATATTTGACCCTGTTTTCTCTGATCCTCCCCTTCTATTGTCTCCAATCCATCTCCTGATAGAACTGAGCCTTGGGGGCAAGCCGCACATGCTCAGTTTGGTGTGTATTGCTAGAGAGTTTTTTTTTTTCTTGGGAGAGTGCATGGGATCTTGGGGTCCTGCAGCCTCATAGGACAATCAGGGGATAATATAAACTCCTCCTAGAAGCTGTAAGCAGTGCTCTGCTGGAAACTGATTGAAATCAAAAGACTGCTGATGAGAAAAGGTATTTAGCAGTTTATATTTACTAAAATAATTGCATTTCATGTTTGTGTGCTGTGGGAGACCAGATACAGGGAATGCAGGGTCCTGGGTTTAGTAACACTTTAAAGTGTTACTAAACCCGGACCCGCATTCACTCTATCTGGTCTCCCACAGTACACAGAACATGGAAATGCAATTATTTTAGTAAATATAACTGCTAAATATCTTTCCCCATCAGCAGTTAGAACAGTCTTGTGACTTCTATCAGTGTCCAGCCAAGCACCTGGTTTAAAGCTTGTAGGAGTTTGGTTTCTGCTCTAGGAGGATGCAGAACCTCTGACCTGAGGTTGTGTCACTTCCTGTTAGAGGGTATGTAGGGGAAAGGAAGTTGTTCCCCAGGGCTTTTTCCATGGGAGGTGGGAGGAAGACTACACAAGTATTGATGTAGTCCAGGGGCGGACTGACCATTTGGAAACTCGGGCCCTGCCCAAGGGCCCGGGGTCAGTAGGGGGCCCCTTGAGATGCCCCTGGTACCCTTTTCATAGGCTTTTTTGAGTTTGGGCAAGAACACAGGGGCCCCATGATCCCCTATTGCCCGGGGGCCCCATGAGTTGTCAGTCCGCCCCTGATGTAGTCACTACTGAATGGAGAGAAATTACCCTAGGAGACCAAAATATAGAGATAGGAGAAACGCAATATCCATTTACGTGAGAAATATCAGAACCTAAGGTATGGGCACCACTGCCACAGTTAAATGCTACCAACATAATATTCTCAACGCACACATTCCTGCAAAGTGGTTGTAGGTGTTGGTGGATGCAGCAGCGTTTACCGTCTGGAACTGAGGGTAATCAGAGTCTTTTAGATGTGACCAGAATAAATTATTATTCTGGCTAATAAATGAATTAATGCCCAAGAGCTAGATGCGCCTAAATGCATTGCATGTTTACTAAATGTTTTTTTTTTTGCCAAAACACCACTGTCCAGGAGGAAAGACATTCAAGTGAGATGGCCAAAGCATCCAGTGTGCATGTGATATTCCCAGCTCTTCTGAAAAAACATCCACTAAGTATACACTATATTGCCAAAAGTATTAGGACACCCCCTCCAAATCACTGGATCCAGGTGTTCCAATCATCTCTATTGCCACAGGTATATAAAATCAAGCACCTAGGCATGCAGACTGCTTCTGCATACATTTGTGAAAGAATGGGTCGCTCTCAGGAGGTCAGCGAATTCGAGCGTGGTACTGTGATAGGTTGACAACTGTGCAATAAGTCCATCCATGAAATTTCCTCGCTACTAAATATTCCACGGTCAACTCTTAGTGGTATTATAACAAAGTTGAAGCAACTGGGAACAGCAATTCAGCCACAAAGTGGTAGGCCACATAAAATGACAGAGCAGAGGCAGCGCATGCTGAAGCGAACAGTGCACAGAAGTCGTCAACTGTCTGCAGAGTCAATAGCTAAAGACCTCCAAACTTCATGTGGCCTTCAAATTAGCACAACAACAGTACGTAGAGAGCTTCATGGAATGGGTTTCCATAGCTGAGCAGCTGCATCCAAGCCTAACATCACAAAGCGTCGGATGCAGTGGTGTAAAGCACGCCACCACTGGACTCTAGAGCAGAGGAGACATGTTCTCTGGAGTGATGAATCACGTTTCCCTGTCTGGCAATCCGATGGACGTGTCTGGGTTTGGCACTTGCCAAGAGAACTGTACTTGACTGACTGCATTGTGCCAAGTGTAAAGTTTGGTGTGTGTGTGGGGGGGGAAGGGGGGGATTATGGTGTGGGGTTGTCTTTCAGGGGTTGGGCTTTGTCTCTTAGGCCCAGTGAAGGGAACTCTTAAGGCATCAACATATCAAGACATTTTGGACAATTTCGTGCTCCCAACTTTGTGGGAACAGTTTGGGGATGGCCCCTTCCTGTTCCAACATGACTGCACACCAGTGCACAAAGCAAGGCCCATAAAGACATGGATGAGCGAGTTTGGGGTCGAGAAACCACAATCAGACAGAACACCTTTGGGATGAATTAGAGTGGAGACTGCTAGCCAGGCATCCAACATTATTATACAGTATTTATATAGCACCAAAAAGGTTTGATCAGCGCTGTACATTATAGTGGGGGACGGACTATGAGACAATACAGCAACAAACAATACACAAGGGGTTCAAGGGCCCTGCTCTTTCGAGCTTACAATCTAGTAAGATCAGTTCCTGACCTCACAAATGCACTTCTGGAAGCCTTCCCAGAAGAGTTGAAGCTGTTATAGCTGCAAAGGGTGGGCCAACTCAATATTGAACCCTACGGACTAAGACTGGGAGGTCATTAAAGTTCATGTGCGTGTAAAGGCAGGCGTCCCAATACTTTTGGCAATATAGTGTATGTTACTCATCCTACAACTAGGTACACACTGTAAGAAAATTGGAAGAAAAATCCTGTACGAAGAATGATCTGTCGATTATCTATTCATTGCTATAGTGCTTTCAAAGGCCGTTCGGACAAAAAAAAGCGAAGGTGCAAGCTAGAAAATTTTTAGAACACAACATCTGATTGTTGCTCAATGTGTACAGCAAACATACGGAAATAAATGAATAGAAAAAAATGTGCATGATCAGAAGCAAAGAATGACCCAGAAGAAGGTGGCAACAAACACAGAAATAGTACACAAGAAAAAACGTTTGCCTACGTAGGGCAAACATTTTCATACAAGTTAATATCATTGTCGGTTACATCATGACACACACCTTCGTGGAAAATCAGAAGATTTTTCCATTTTCTCATAATGTGTACCCCACTTACAAAAGCATGACAAATTTATGGAAATAAGAGTATAAGAAAAGGGCAGATTATGGAGCAATTGAACCATTTTAGATAACTTGTTTAAAAAATGGGAAAACATTATTCATGATTGTACTAAATTATATAAGGAACAGATATAAAAAGGAAACTAATAGACTGAAAAGGGATGTCACAGATTCCAAGAAAAGTAAAACATTCAAATGGCCTAAGTTTTTCGTGGTAACAAAGATCAGCAGGATAATTATTCTCCCATTTCTAAAAGCAATAAACACATATAAAAATGAAATATCCTGGAAAAATAATAAAACATCCAGAAGCTTATAATACAGATAAAGAGGCGTATAGTGGTAATAATTCTAAATGCAAGAACACATTAAACATACAAATATAAATTAGGCTTCTTCTAGCACAGGGAAGATATGCAAGAAAAAAAACCATTTCAAGTGAGTGAGATTTTTAATTGATCTTCTAAGTCATTAATCCCCAATAAACATTCTGTATCAAAGGGGAACTACACTGTATCTGAACACCACAAACTGAAAATTATATTTCATTCATTTTTATTATTCAAGGAAAACTCCACATCCATGCATGTCTCCATGCTTTACTTTGATAAACACCCCTCTAGCATTTCTACCCACAGCCATCTTGAGTAAGGGCAGGTGATTAATGTAGCATTTACTTCCTAGAATCCATCTGCTCGTAGCTCAGGCATGCACACAGGAGAGCACATGTGCACACATGTGCTTAACTGAGAAAACCCCTCCTCCCCTCCCCCAGATAAAAGATAAAAAATATCAATGAAGACTCCTAGGATATATGACTTTATTTTGGCCTAGGCCAGAAAGCAGGAAGCAACAGAAGAAATGTAAAACAAAAAGTTTAAATCAAGTAAATATAATGTTCATTTCTATCTATTTACTAATGCTGACAGCATATGGAATACAAATAGGCAATGTTGATTGGAAGAGTTTAGTTCTGCTTTAACAAATGTGTTAAAGTGGTTGTAATGCCTTAAAGTGACACTAAAGGTTGTTTTTTTTTGTTTTTTTTTGGTTTTTTTTTTTTAAATAACAAACATGTCTATACTTACTGGCTCTGTGGAGTGATTTTGCACACAGCAGCCCCGATCTTCTTCTTTTCGGGTCCCCGCCGGGTACTTCTGGCTCCTCCCCCCAAGCAGTGGCCCCAGAGAAAGCCGCTTCACCCAAAATGGGAAGTTCTGCTTTTTTCCTCATCCCACCCTCCTCTTCCATATTTGTAGTATTTTTTGTAGGGGGGGGGGAACGGGTATCTGTCAAAATAAAATACCCGCTTCCACTTCCACTCTGGATGCCTAAGCGAATGATGCAGAAGTTCCTCCCCCCTCCTTCTCCCCGCAGCCTCTTGTCATGTCAGAGAACCCAGGAGAATGCGGGACCAATCAAGGGGCCCAGCGTGGCTCGCCCATGCGCAGTGTGCAGCCAGCTATGAAGCTGCAAGGAGTCAGTCGGCTGCCCACAGTTAAGATTACGGACACCTGAACCTGAAGACAAGAGAGAGAGCTGGGTCAGGGGAGGACATCGCTGGATCCTGGGACAGGTAAGTGTGTGTGTTTTTTAAAAGTAGCAGCTACAGTATTTGTAGCTGTTGACTTTTACATTTTTGTTTACAGGGTGACATTCTGCTTTAATGCATTCTATGCATTGAGGTAAAAAAACTGCATCTAGGATCTCCCCCCCCCCCTTCCTTATATTTACCTGAGCCCCACCGTGCTCCAGCAGAGTGCATGAGAGCAGTGGCTCTGCTGGTTCTGTCCCTCCCCACTGGGCAGATTGATAATGTGTCGATCAAACTCTGTGACAAGGGAGCGGGGGACGGGACCAAGCCCTACTGTCTGTGTCTATGGATGCAGGCAGTGGTTCTCAGGAGTGACCCCACACGAGTGCCCCCTTAGGACGTTTATTCCTCCACATAGCGGTGTCTCTAATACAGGAGATGTATTTCTGGCCAGATCACCAAGTAAAGACAAAGGGGAAAAAAGCCAAAGAAAAGAAAACGAATGCAGCCATCACATCTAATGATTGGTAAGCTGCAATATATATACATTTTTTTTTGTTTGAGGTTTAATACCACTTTAAACCACTAACCCTACAGGACACTTATACCCCCTTCCTGCCCAGGCCAATTTCCAGCTTTCGGCGCTGCTGCACTTTGAATGACAATTGCACAGTCATGCAACACTGTACCCATATGAAATTGTTATCATTGTTTTGTCACAGAGCTTTATTTTGGTGGTATTTAATCACCTCTGGATTTTTTATTTTTTCTTAAACCAAAAACCACTGAAAATTGTGAAAAAAAAGCCACTTTTTCTTAGTTTTTGTTATAAAATTTTGTAAATAAGAGATTTTTCTCCTTCACTGATGTGCACTAATGAGGCTGCAGTGATGGGCACTGATAGGCTGCACTGATAGGTGGCACTGATAGGCACTGATGAGGAGGCTCTGGTAGGTGGCACTGATGGGCATTGACAGGCATCACTGATGGGCACTGATAGGTGGCACTGACTGGTGGCACTGATAGGTGGCACTGACTGGCACTGTTAGGTGGCACTGACTGGCACTGTTAGGCGGCACTGATAGGCAGCACTGACGGGCACTGATAGGCGGCACAGATGCACACTGATAGGTGGCACTGATAGGTAGCACTGATTGGGAGCACTGATAGGTGGCACTGAAAGGCAGCTCAGATGGGCACTTATATGTGGCACTGATGTGGTACTGATGGGCACTGGTAGGTGGCACTGATGAGCACTGACAGCTGTCACTGATGGACACTGACAGGTGGCGCTGCTGGGGGCTACACAGATCATCAGGGCACACTGATCATCAGTGCTCTGATGATCTGTGTACATGTTCCTTCGAGGAATGCAGATTACCGGCTCTCCTCTAGAGCTGTCAGCGTGACAGCTCGTGGGGAGAGAAATGCCAATAACCGGCATTTCCCTGTTTACATGTGATCAGCTGTGATTGGACACAGCTGATCACATGACCGAGCCGACATCTTCGGCTCTTTCCGTGGATCGGTGATCCACTGTGTCCGAGGAACACAGCGCACCACCGATCGCCGCACTGTGCGCTCCGGGAGCCGCGCATGCGCGGTTAGAAACGGAGGACATCATATGACGTCCTCCCAGAATGAGAGAACCACCTTGTGCCCATCATATTACTATATGGCGGGCGGGAGGCGGTTAAAGCCAATAACTATTCAAAGCTAGTTGCAGTAGTTTAAAGGTTTGGTGATGAGTTTTCCTTTCAATGGGGGCCCCCTCCGGTCACACCTGAATGATAGCTACGATATATCGGGAAATGTATGCACTCAACACCGCAGTACGTTGCAAACACTTCAACTTTATTGCGGAAACATCAGCGTATATATAAATCTGTAATCTCTGGGAAGATTTTTAATGACCAACTTTTAATATCAACCAAATACATGTATTTTATCTTTAGCCTTGCACCTTAGTTGTCACCAAACTTTGCAGAACTATCGTCTAGCCAGATGGTTGTGGTCAGACTTACTCATAATTTTGGCCCAACGCCCGAACTACGGTTACTGTCTTACTAAAAATTACTTCCTAAAAAAACTTGCAAACACAGTTATTTTCCTGTAAAGCATACATACACAATTTTCATTTAGTGTGTACAAAGGTCATAGATTATAAAAGAAGCATATTATAAAACAAAATGGAGTTGATCATGTTATCCTTTCAGTAGTCAAGATGATGCTGTGAGCTTGGCTTGCATCAGAGTAGCGATCAATTGCCAAGAAGATGGAACAAATGATCCTCTAACTAAAAAAAGTAGAAAGCAGCTGTGATTAATCATGCTTGATTGAACAATGTCCAGTATTGTACATGTACTGTAGCTTATGACATAAGATTCATTTGTTCATCTACTGACAGACTCTAGGTTATGGTTGCCTAACAATTTTAGTAACATGACTAAGCTAATAAAACGACCCGTGGGCATTAAAGGAATGAGGCCCCTCGTTATTAGTTATCATTTTGTTTTAATTAAAAGGGAACTCAACTCCCCCAACTCCCTATTTTTCTGATTACCCTCTTACCAGTATAGTTGGGTTTTTCCCCATACTCACAAGCTTATCCACTGATCCATCAGTGTTCTCTTAGAATCCACCTCTTAGTCGCAGTGCACCTGGTCCACTGCCACCATCTTTTGATGTCACCCGGGAAGGCGGCTGCCTTTTCTGGGTTGTGTAGCGGCTTTGTGATAATGCACATGTGCTGTATTATCGGGGGGGGGGGGGGGGGGGGGTGTTTCAAAAACCACAAATATGCAGCCAGCCCTCTGGTGGCATGCACTGTATTGTACCTGTGGTCTCCTGGGACTCATGTCATGGGTATCCCAGGAAGCTGCAGGCAACTATACACATCATTCTGGCTTAGGCCAAAAAAAGGAAGTGTGGGGAGGAGTCCCCCCCCCCCCCCCCCCCCCCAAAAAAAAAAGGAACTATGTTAGAGAAGGGGGAGGGTAGGATGAAAATGATGTAAAATTGCACTTCATAGGTTAATTTCAGGTATGGATATTTTTTTAAAACAACATTGATACAGCTTGGACCAATGTAACCATACATATATCATACCTGGCCGATGTCCATGGAAACTGAAAATCACTGAAGTAGACACAGCTACTCCAGTCATCTCTACTTGCTTCTGGGTCCTGCGCCAAGCAGCTGCCCTGCTGCACCGTGAAACCAGAAGGTTGGCTGATCGGCGCGGGTGCCAAACAAACAATATAAAGCTTTCTCTGATCACCCGAGGTCGAGAGCAAGATGTCACCGGGACCTGGAAACAAGTGGAGATTACTGGAGTAGTAGCATCTACTTCAGTGATTTCCAGCTTCCAGGGGCATCAGTCAGGTATGGTGTGTACACAGTTACATTGGTCAAAGTTGGACCATGTATAAAATATCCATACCTGGAATTCTTCTTTAAGCTCAACAATCCCAGTCTACCATTCCAGGATGAAACACTACAGAGATCTCCTCTGGTCTTTGCCATCTTTTCCATTCAGCAACCCATGACCAATAATCCATTTCTTCATAGTGTCAACATCGTTATAATAAATTGCTTTCATATAACCACTGCTGCAGTGTCTTCCTTTCCTTCTTCCATGAGTTTTCACTCAAAATTTAGGTAGAGCCCTCTAACAATGCTGCACTAAGTAGGAAACCCCCCCTGTAGGGTGAAGAGAGGTGGCCTATGTACAGAACCAGTTCTTCACATTCCACCCCCCTCCTTTTAATGGTAACAAAGGGTCCTTTGAGAGATTGCAGCATTCTATATGGGACAAACCTCAATACAAAACATGCCCTGTAGAAATAACATGATTGAGAAGTGCCTGGGGTGGGAATCTCCATATGCTGCCCCCTGGATAAGAGTAGCACTATGAGTGACTGCACTGTACACAGACATACAATTGTACTATTTCAGGGTATATCTCTATGTTCACATAAAGAAAAACGTAACTTTTTCCAAAGTTAGAACTACAAAGGTACTGGCAATGGTAGTTGAGCGTAGCTCAAACCATCATATCAGGAAAAATGGGGGTACTATATAAAATTATCCATAATGCTTATGGAGACAAATTGTATTCAGACAGGCTGGCTCAAAGATGGGGTAACTCTCAGGCATACCGTCAGGTGGACTACTTGTGATAAAGTGCCCCCATTATAGGAGCAAATAAAGAAACTCGATTAAAGGGATAGTTCACCTTTATGAAAAAGCTGACAATGCAGATAAGGGGTATCTCTACATAAAAACAAACTGTCCAGCTCTGATTTAGTTGAATAATGTCCCTGCTATAGGTGCAAGCCATTTACATACCTCCCGAAGCCTGACTGGAAAATTCCTAGGGCGTTGCAAGGTGAGGCCTAGTCATTACTGCTCACCTCCACCATCACAGTAGTGAGCTCTCAGAAGTTGAGCTCAGAGCTACTACATCACGGGAGAGAAAGGGCTTTTATTCAGAGAAAAAAATTCACTCCTGTGATGGCGGAGGTGAGCAGTAATGACTAATCCTCACATAGCAACGTCCTAGGAATGTCCTGGGAGTATTCCAGTCAGGCTTCATGGGGTACATAAATGGCCTACACCTATAGCAAGTGTATTATTCAACTTTAGTCAGAGACATACAGTTTGTTATTATCCAGAGACACCCCTTATGTGCATAGGCAGGTTTCTGGTAAAGGCGAACTAACACTTTAAGGAGAGTAATAAAGCAGTCTGGAAAGAAGAACCTTCAACAGGAAGAATCAGTAGTCCGTTTATATACATCCAACACGTTGCTGCCTTAAGACGGCCATAGATGGTTCAAATCTTGGCCTAGATTTGGGCCATCTATGGGCAGGGTGATTGTACCCTATTTGATTCTTGTACGACTTGTCTGTGGTCAGTTTTTTCATGCACATTTTGTCAATGGCTATAGCTGCTAGCAAAAATTACTGCGTTGTCCCGGCAGGCCCCCCTGCAGGGGGATTCTCCCATAGCTCTGCGGGAGGGATTCCCCCATCAATACTAATAGTGTTGATGGGAAATCAAGCGATTTTATTGCATCTTCCATGGCTGGCTTTAGTCTTGTATTCCATTTAGAGCGTCTCAACACAACCTGATAGACAGCAGCAGAAACCCCCCCTCTCACCCTCTCTTGGGGAATAATGACATCTGGTATATATTTCTGATCAGGGAGGTAGTGGAAAAAGGTAAAAGCAGGAAAAGGGAAAGAAGGCAAAGAAACAAAAGGAATGGGAGGATATTTGGTCACCCATAGTCAATTCTTTGGAGTTATTCGAAAGATGGCGTGACGAAGGGTGCAATTATCGTATCCACGGCGTCCAGACACTCTCAAAACATTGCTGTTTGTCATGAAGCACATTGGCGATTTTTTTTTTTTTTTTTGGTGCAGCATTATCCAATTACATTTTTTGTTAAGCTGCGTTAAACCCTATTACAAGGCTTTTCCAGGATTTAGTTATCGCAATGTTTGCTCCCAGGGACATATAGAATATCAGTGACTGAGTGTACTTAGGAACTCCGTCTACAGGCTCATTTAAGTGCACCATATGTGGCTTTTTGGGCACAGCTCTAATGAGCAGAGCCTTCTGTTTCCTCTTGTACCAAATTGTATTGTAACTGTAATGTCTACCTTCATTTTGTAAAGCGCTGCTCAAAATGTTGGCGCTATATAAATCCTGTATAGTAATAGTGACAGAACACATCAGAGCATGCATCTTCATCCAAAAGCGATTCAAGTGGCTAAGCAAGTTAATGCAGCTGCTGTGGGCTCCTCACATGCTGCAGCCGCAATGCTTTGTGGCAAAAATTAAAGTGATTGAAAACTTTTTTTTAAAAAAGCAAACAGGTTTATATTATTAGTATTATCATTATTTATTTGGTACTTATCCACTTCCCGCCCGGCCTGTAGCCAGATGGCAGCCGGAAGAAACAGCTTGTCCCTCCGGGTGGACACCATATGGCGTCCTTGCCGGAACGCATATTGCGCATGCCCACAGGGCCGTGCTGCGGCGCGATCTGTCACCAGCCGTGTACCGCGGACAAGGCCGATGACAGATCTGTCCCAGCCCCGTTGCCAGTACCATGTGACCTGCTGTGACCAATCACAGCAGGTCACATGACAGTTGTATACAATGGATGGCTTCCTTTCATGCCATCCATTGTATATAAGTGTGTCTAGCTGCGAATGGTCAAAGTGATCACATGCACAAGCTGGGCCAATCACAGCCCAGCTATGTCATGTGATTAGCCGTGGCCAAATCACAGCTAATCACAAAAAAAAACCCTGAATGAATTGATTTCATCCAGGTAAATGCTTGCTTATAGCAAAGTAATTCTTTGCTATAAGCAAATTGGGTAAATAAAAGTATTTTTTTTTTCACTTACCCCAAAGTAGTACAATGTTGCTATGGTAACATTATACTACATTGGTCATAGTGAAAATATGAAAAAAAATCTTAAAAGAGAAAAAACTAATAAAAAAATTAAAAATAATCAAAAAAAAATTTATTTTTTTTTTCGTACT